AAAAAAAAAAAAAAAAAAAAAAAAAAAAAAAAAAACCAGGTGAAAAAATATTTGATTTTTTCTATCCAATATCAACACTTCTACAGAAGTAGTGACATCGAAAATATATATATATATATACGCACACACGCATACATATACATAAGCTTATTGAATTGTCTCTCCAATTGTCGCTAATTTTATTGAAATTGTTCACTCAGTTTAGCTTTTTCTGCTAATCTTTAATCTTTCTTCAGTTGTTCAGGCATTCATTGCCATTCCTCCTTGAACTTGTCATAAGGAAGGAACAGAATGAAAAAAAACAGCAAGGAGGTAAAAAGGAAGTGAAGAAAAAAAAAGTGGAGGTGGAAAAAGTCGAAAAAAAAAAAGGAAGATAAAAGACAAGCAAAAGTTAAGAAAAAAAAAAAAACATCAGGATAAAAAGGGAATCTCCAACTTTTCGTCCACTTAATCTCCTAATGTTCCCTTGAAAACAACAAATAAACTTAAAATTGACAAGGAAAAAAAAGTGCTTTTTACTTATGTCTTTTGCTTCTTCCCCTCTCTCCCCCACTTTTCCCCACAGATTTCATAGTTTTGGCTGAAAACAACGAAACAAATAAACAAATAAACAAAACAAAAATGGCAAAAGGTAAGAAGAAAAACAACAATAAATTTTGAAGTAAATAATAAGAAAGTAATTTCCATTCATTCAGTGTATCGGTCTTTCTTACTGCCGTTCCAACCTTTGCCCGCCTCACACCCCGTAACTCTATTTTTGGTGTTTATCTCATGAAAAAATGCTCAACAACAATAATGACTCTAAAAAAAAGATTGAAATTTGTTGTGTTTGTTGTTGTTCACTCTTTTTCCGCTTAAATTATAATCAAGTATGGCAAAAAAAAAAAAAAACTAGTAAGAATAAAAATTTTCAATCATCGAAATTAGCTTCCAAAAATAAACTTCTTTTACATATTTTTTCTTTATCGTCCCACTCAATCTACCAAAATCCAATTACACCTTTTTCTTTTTTTGCTTTCTACAG